AAGCAGGCCACAAAAAACAAAAAACAAAACGAGACAGGTATGTACCAAGATGCCTATGTACCAACTACCCACAGTGAACATTTTATATATCACAAATGCACTGATTTTTTTTTTTTTTTTAATTTTTCCTGTAACAGGGGATTGAACTCAGGCCCTTGTGTTTGCCAGGGAAGTGCTTATGCCACTGAGCCATGTCCCTGGCCGCATGCCATCTCCCTGGCCCAATTTTTAAAAAGATGAAACAATTACAAAGTCAGTGTAAGACTAAGCCACATATATATTGCAAAAACTTCTGAAATTGTGCCCAAAAGTTCTTCCCTCCCAGCTGAGTTACAGTCAAATAGCAGCTAATACTGAGGGAATACACACAAAAAGATAGTAACTTTTTTATTTTTATTTATTTTTGGCAGAACCGGGCATTGAACTTAGGCCCTTGCACTTACCAGGCAAGTGCTCATTCTACTGAGCTCTCTCTCTGGCCCCTAAGATAGTAACTTTACAGAAGCACCCAGCAGACAGGCTGACACAGTGAAAGGCCCAGAGAAAGAGACCTACGGGTACAGGTCTGGAGTTATCTGCTATGCTCCCTCCCCACTACACACCCCCACTGTGGGGAGAGGTGGGAAAGCACCTTGTTTACTGCTCTTTTTGTACCTCTACATATTACATGTGCTTGATGCACCTGTTATAGTTCAGACAGCCACATGCTTTTAGGGACTGTTCTCAAGGTTAAATGGCAGACCCACGACACCATCAAAGCATGCAGGTATCTCACACATTCCAGGATGTACTCAGCTGCCCTTCCTTCAACAAGTCTGCTGGAGGTTCTTACCATTTTCTATTCCAGAATTAACAAATCTAAACAACCAAACCTTTTTATATTTTAGAAAACCTGAAAAAAAAAATTAAGCTAACATTTTATGAAATTTTGAGTTTATAAGACATCATATATTCTCCATTTAACCCTACAATTTTCCAATGGGCTTCCTTGGGCTACATAACTTATCCAAAGCTAGTAATAGCAGCTAATCAGTATATGTGCTGCCGAAGCGAGCACAATAGCAGCTAATCAGAATGAGGTCTAAAATCTGGATTGCCATATATAAACCTCTCCTCCCTAAAAAGATATACTATCTTAGAGAATAAAATAACTTTAGGCTAAAGTATCAGAATTTTGGATTTTTACAAATGATTTGCTGTAATTTAGTTTTGCATGAACTAAGATAGAAAACTGTCCTGCAATACTTGAGTGTACACTATAAAAGTCCCTGGAAGAGACAGCTTCCCCAGGAACTACCCGCTCGGGCCCCCCTCCGTCCCTTTCTTGGACAGGGGCTTTCTTTCTAATAAATACATTCTGTTCATTAAAACAAAACAAAACAAAACAAAACTTGAGTGTACAGCTCATGGGATAACAGAAGGCGGCCTACAATTACGCTGTGGAGCTGGGTAACAAGAGGATGTTTAAGTGTTCCTTTTCAGTTGGGTGAAGGTTCCTGGAGATCAGTTACTGCCATCTACTGGCTGGACAAACACCCTGTTCACATGGTAATTTATCTTGCCACTTCCCATTTGTCGGTGCTACAAGGGCTGGATCTGCCTACAGTGAATTAAGCATGCACCCTACCACTAAACTACACTCCAGCCCAATCTTACTGTGTGGCCAGCTCAGCCCACCAGGGGGCGGGGCTGGCTGGCATGTAGTGCTGGGGGATTGAACCGCGGTCCCTGTGCTTTGCTAAGCTTGTTCTAAGTAGGTGCTTTAGACCACTGAGCCATCTCACCAGCCCCCCTTACTGTATTTTTTTTGAAAGCTGTGGTTTCTTAGGTTTTAAATAGAATACTCTCCAAATCTGTGTAGTGAAATCTGTATCCTGAACCAGATCTATATAGATTTTTTTTGAAACAGGGTCTGGCTAGGTTGGGCTGACCTTTAACTCGTTACATAGCCCAGGCTGGCCTTGAAGTGATCCTCCTGCCTCAGCCTCCCACTGTTGGCATTACTGGCATGCCCTACCATGCTCAACCTGAACCAAATCTCTGTAATTTTTTTTTATGTAGTCAGTTTAATCACTGGAAAATTTTAACTATAGTAGATAAAAAGGTGCTTTCCCATATCACTAAAATCTAGGCAGAATAAACTAGCTGCAATCATATACTAGTATTAATAGTTGAAACTACTTAAAAACAAACAAAAAACAAAGAAATGAACACACCAGGAAGTGAAACAGTTTTATTTCACAGATGTGTTTAAAACTGCAAAGACACTATTTTCTTCATATAAAAACATTGGTATATCTGTACTTTTTAGAAAATGATTATACAGATCCCCTTAAAGAAAACTGCACCTCATTATATGGTTTCAGGAAGGTTGGTTGGAAAAAACATATCTGGACTGATTCCTAAAACATACCACTCCACACTCTGCATCTTTTGGTTCAAAGTATAGATTACTGTCATCAGTGTGTGTTCCTGCATTCTTACATATTTGATAATACACACACAGGCTGGTTTATTAATGCTCCATTGGTTCATCAGCTTTTTCTGCAGGTTCATCCGCAGGTTGTGCAGGCTTAAAAGGCAAGAAAAAAAGATGTAAAATGAACACGTAATCAATATACATTTCTAACCACAAATAGTGTAAAAAAAATGAGAAACAGGCTGAGATACCTCTCTCTGTCTCTCTCTCTCTATATATATATCTATATACATATGTAAGTTCTGAGAACCCCAAATCACTAAACAATTCCATAACTTTACCATACTTTGTCTTCCTCTACAGTTAAAAATCTTTGTTATTAGTACGGTTTAATATACACTCAGTAAATTTTTTGATGGCCTTTTCCCTTTTACCAATAACAAAATAGTAAAAATACATTCAAACCAATCAGCTACATGGCATTCATAACATTCTTCCCAACAGTGCTTTCTTTTTGAGACACAGCCTCACTACGCAGTTCAGCCTGGCCTAGAATTCACTGCATAGCGGAGGCTAGGACTGAATTCGCAGCAGGCCTCCTAAGCCTCCCAAGTGCTGGGTTTGGTGTGTGCAACGAAGTCTGCCTAACAGTATCTTTCCATATATATATATATATATATTTTTTTGTTGTTGTTGTTGTTTGTTTGTTTTTTTGTTTTGTTATTATTATTATTTTTTCCCGGAACTGGGGATTGAACTCAGACCCTTGTGCTTGCCAAGGAAGCACTTATTCCACTGAGCCATCTCTCCGGCCCCTCCAAGTGTATATATTATAAACATCTAGCTAAAAGACTCATATTTTACCTAAGATATAGTAATGTTTCTGTTGTGTTTTTTTTGTTTGTTTGTTTTTAATGGAGATAGTCTTCCTTTGCAGTTCAGGCTGGCCTTGAACGCATAGCAATCCTCTTGCCTCAGCCTCTCAAGTGATGGGATTACAGGTGTGCACCATCATACCCAGTATTTTTCTTTAAACTAATATTCTTGATGCTTCTGTCATAATTCATGACGGGTAAGTCTAGCCATCTACCAGAGGACCCAGCCTTCTAGCTGCCCCTCTCGGACACTGAGTGCAAGAGAAGACATGTAAGTGGGCATCTTGGATGTTCCAGGCCCACCCCACATCTAACTGCAGTGTCTGAGAACCCAAATGCGAATGGCAAAAGACCCACTGAGCTGAGCCCATGTCAGCCACAGAACTGAGAGAGAATGCCTGCTGTTTTACATGTGTGAATTTCGTGGGGAGCTTACTACATAGCAATATATATCTAACTTATTAACCCTTCCCTTTTTTGTGTTTATGGAGATCACTGCCCCCTCAATATTTTCCTTTATTCAGTTCTTAATTTTTCAACCACCATTTAAGTTATGGGCCCATTTCAGTAAGTAAAGATAACAATGGTAGATTTACACAGTTGCGAGAGGAACAGCAGCTTAGGACAGAAATAAAGCCGCTTGTGTTAGGATTCATTCACCTGTGCCTTTCTCTGGGGCCTTTCTTCAAGACCTTCCAGGAATGGAGACACTTCATCATCATCATAGATTGTGAACTCCAAATCTTTACCAACAATTCCAATGGAAACATTCTGAGGGAGGAAATGGTAAATATAAAGAAATGTAAAAATTAAAAAGAGAATTCAGGTCAGAAAAATGTCTACAATAAAATGAATGAAAATCACAAAATAAAAAATTGAGTGCCTGAATTTGAGAAAAGCTACTTATATGTACGAAAAAAGAAACGGACTAGTAGGCCCTTGTCACTTTTGGGTGATTAACCCTATAGAAATATTGTTTATATTAAGATTCTTTAGGCTATAAAGTCTTCACACTGACATTAATAATTACCCAATGACTATAGCAAAATGGCTTTATAATACTGACTAATCTCACTTTAATTATGATTATTAGCCTCAACTAGGCCTATTGGCTTCTTTTTCTGGATTATCCTATCCCAGTTCCTACATTGTTCAATCTCCCTTGCTATTGGACAACTGTCCTTTATAATTCTTCTTTTTCCTTGCACCCAAAATCTTGGTCTTACTTCGCTGAGAAAATAGAAGCAACTGGAAGAGAACACTTGCGAACTCCCCTTGCATCCACTCTATCCTGTCCCCGTCTCTATGTTCTCGTCTTTATTATTATCCTGAATGAGCAGTCCAATTTCCTAAGGTCAACCTCCCCACCAGTGTATTGCTAAAAGATATTGTTCTAAACAGTTTTTCTCATTATTCTCCTGCATAAATGCTTCCTTTCACATTCAATACCTTGCAGAGCCACACAGCAAATATATCTTTTCTTCCATCTTAAAAAACCTAAACAATGGAAACCCTTACTGTATCTTTTTTCAACTACCATTTTTCTGGACTTGCATCAGAAACATCGCCCAAGAGCCATCTCCAATTTCTCTTCTCTTCTCTTCTCTCCAGATGCCATTCCTCTTAGGCTTTGGCACCAACCATCCTGTCAGACTGTCTTGACAAGTCCTTGGAGACAGCACTGCTAAACCAACTTTCTTGATCTATTAGCCATTTCTAATCTTTTCCTCCCTGAAAGTTTCATTTGCTTTTAATTTAAGGATGCATCATTTTCTAATTTTCCTCCTATTTTTCTGATCATCTCACTCAGTCTTTCTTTTTGGTTTTTTAATACAGGGTTTCACTATGTATCCCAAGCTACCATTTGGGCTCACTATGTAGCCCAGGCTGGCCTCAAGCTCTTGGTGATCCTCCTGCCTCAGCCTTCAGAGGGCTAGGATCATAGGCACATACGACCATGTCCCACTGATCATCCAATTTTAGGTTACATCTGCCACACTATCTTCTCAAAGCCAATTAGTCATTCTTTTCATAGCCATTCTTTTCATAGTCATTCTTTTCATATAGCCAGTTTTCCTACAGCATTTGTCACCTTCTAACATACTACAGAATTAACATATGTGTCTGCTGTCAATCTCTTTTTCCTCACCAGAATATATGCACAATGAAGGTCAATATCTTTGTTGTGCTTACCATAATCCCAATGCCTAGAGCATAGTACTGGTAAGGGCTCAATATACACATAGTTGTAAAACATATTAGGAATACAAACATGGATTTCCTCTAGGGGTGGGGATACATTCTATACCAGACTTACTGGTTTTATTTCTCTATACCAAAAAGAAACATTTAAAAAAAATAACATTTCACAATCTGATCATTTAGGGAATAGCTTCAAGAGAAATAAGCCAAGACAACCATCTCCCAAACTAAAGAATGTAAGTATATACTCTTCTATTACTTACATTTCATGCAATAGAAAACTAAACTGTAATGTTAACATCCACAACTGGAAAAATGTTTTTTTACCTTAGTTGTCAGGTCCTGTTCTGCAGGAAGTGTCTCTCTTAAGGCACGCAGACCATGCTTAACCAGTTCATTTAAATTGCCTACATGTAATAAATTAACAATTATTTTTTCATTTCAGCAAACCATCCTTCTTTTTATGAAGTCTACAGTTTGAAATTGCAGTAATACACACTAAACCTACCCCAATAAAAACAGCCAAAAGTTTAAAAGTAGGCTAGTCATATAATCTAACAGCAACCAACACTGATGACTATAACTGAATTAGTACGAATACATGTAATTTTTGTTACTAAGTCTGACTTGTCCTTTGGCCAGGTTAAATAAAAATGCTAACTGATTAGCACCAGTCACACTTGTATAGAATGTGTCCTGTGGAAATGCTAGTCCCTTTGTATAAAAAGACATATCTCACTTATTCAGTATAACTAACCCTGTGCTGTAGATTGTATATAAATGTCCCCCCAAAAGCCTTAGGCAGTCTTAGGTATTCTCAGAGGTAGTTAAGTCTAGAGTTTGTGATTGATTCATGGGCCAATGCTGCAATTAGGCTCACTATGTAGCCCAGGCTGGCCTCAAGCTCTTGGTGATCCTCCTGCCTCAGCCTCCAGAGGGTTAGGATCATAGGCACATTCGACCATGCCCCACTGATCATCCAATTTTAAGTTACATCTGCCACACTATCTTCTCACAGCCAATTAGTTATTCTGAATGAGTGGGTGTGAGTGTTACACCCACTGTAGGATAAGCACAACGGAATGGAGACAAAGGGGCTTGCTTGCCCTTGTTTGCTTTTGCTGTCTTCTCCTTTGGGTTGCCCCTCAGCCAAGTCATGCTGCCTTGGGCCCAGCCAACCATGGACCAAAACTTCTACTAACTGTAACCTAATAAACCCATCCTCCCTTAACTTTGGGCATTGGGTATTTGGTCTCTGCAATGAAACAAGTAACTAAAACACTCTTGATACCAAAACCAGATAAAGTCATGAGAGAAAACCACAAACTAATTTTCTTTTTGATTATAGACAAAAAAACCAAAAAACAAACAAACAAAATCAATAAAATACTACAGACTAAATTCAGCAACACAGAACAAGGATTATATGTCATAATCAAGTGGCACCTATACTCAGGAATGCAAAATTCCTTTAATAATTGAAAATTCAATCAATGTAACACTACCATAACTAGTAAGTGAGTTCAACAAGGCTGCAGGACACAAGATCAATATATATGAATCAACTGTAGTTCAACATTCTGTACATAAAGTTAAGAAAATTCTCTTTAAATACCAAATATTTATGAATTTAATAGAAACCACACAGCATGTATACTGAAAACTATAAAACATTAAAAAATTAAAGACCTAAGTAAAGGAAAAGCTATCTGATGTTCAGAGATCAGAAGGCTTGTACAGATAGATGTCTTTTGACTTATGAGGGGTTACACACTGATAAACCCACTGTAAATTGAAAATAAGTTAAAAAATGTATTTAATATTCCTAACCTACTTAATATCACAGTTTAGTTGTTCAACCTTGTGACTAATCATGTGGACTGCTGAGATCTGTTGCTCACTGCCCTGGATCATGAAATAGTATCTTACCACATATGGCTAGCCCAGAAAAAAGATCAAATTTAAAACCTAAAGTTGATTTTCTACTGAATTTATATTGCTTTTACATTATCATAAAGTTTAAAATTTGTAAGTGGAACTACCCTAAATGATTAGGATCTGTATTAAAACAGGAGCAATACTTTCTAAAATAATCTACATATTCAGTAAAACTCTTAGTAATTTCTTATTCAGGCTGGGATGTGTTAGGAATGTGCTCATGTGATCAAGTGTCAATCAAACTTTGGATACTGGGTTTCTGATGCACTTCCCTGGGCAGCAATATCCTATGCTGTGAACCCCTTCCGAGATGGGACAGTGCATGAGGAAGTCGCACTTCCTCCCGTGTTGTTCTAAGTCTAAGCTATGAGTGTAAGTGCGTGATGAGTTGCATGGGTCTTTGCCAATTTCCAAATATGGGGTGATAATGGGAACTGCCAACCAGTTATCATTGTTTAAAATATTCAGTGTTAATCTGGTATTTCTCAAGGTTACCTGGTTCTAGAACTTGCGACTTTTTTTTCAGTACTGGGAATTGAGTCCAGAGCCTTTCCACTTGCTACACCCCAGCCCTTTTTTATTTTGAGAGTTCTACTAAGTTGCTAAACCACATAGGTTGAGCTCAAACTTGTGATCTTGCCTGAACTTCCCACCAGGAATTGTAGGCCTGTACCACTACATCCAGCTAGCACTTGTTTTCCCAAAAGTTAAGCCTATTGCCATCTCATACAGTTTGCTTTAAATAATGTTAATGAGAAAATTGTGTTTCTCTGTATTTACTGAGCCCCAAACATTTCCTCCACAGAATACTGTATTATCACATGAAAACTTGTAAACCAACTACGAGAAATGTTAGCCTTGATCCTACCTCTACTTCCAGTGTGAGGAAAAACACCTGAAAACCTGATCTATCATTTTATATCAGTTATCTTTCTTTTCCATGACTTCTCTGCCTTTTGTTTGCTATTTATGGAGTACTTAATGAAGAAATGTACATGTGACTTAAAATTGGAACAAAATCACAAAGCACTGCAAGTGTAAATATAACTTACAAATGGCAAGCAGCAATTAGTACAGTCATCTTCAATTCTATCTGGGACACAGGTTAAACCAAATGAATCATGAACTATAAAGGTTGGGGATACATGTATATTTTGTAAAAGTTCTATTGGTGACTAAAACTATTGTAACCAGGAATAAAAACTCGTATGTGTGCCAGAAACATAAACACTTCAAGGGCTTAAATTTTAAAAAACTCCTATCATGCAGTTTTAGGATGTTATATGTTTACCATGTAAAGACTGAAACAGGCAAAATCAAAACCAAACCATGCAAAGCTATCACTTACACTCCATAAATTCAGACATATGTCTCTCCAAGTAAGTACGAGCTGACTGAGAACGGGCTCCAATAGACATAGCTCTGCAGTCAAAATAGTTGGCAGATGGACAGGTCTGGAAAATGTGAGGGCCCATATCCTACAAATGGGAAGAAGTATACCACATAAATTCTTGACTTCAGTTGAGCTTTTAAAAAAAAAAAAAATCAGAAAAACACCTTATTCACTTAAAAAAAAAAAAATCACTAAAATGTAACAGGACTCCATGAACTTACATCATAACCAGCAATAAGCAGCCCAACACCATAAGGTCTCCGGCCATACCGCTGTGTTGGTATCTGGGTCTCTAAATTAGTTAAAGAGTTCGCTCTAATAAAGAATAAATTGTTGCCATTATTTTCAAATTAAAGATTTTTAAAAAAATGTATTTAGTTGTTACAGGGTCTCCCTATGCAGCTTAGACTTATGGTGATTCTCCTGCTTTCAGCCTCCCCTGTGTTGAGATAAAGGCATTGGCTACTATGTCCAGACTCTGGCTAGCTCAGGAGCAGCAAGTGGTGCCGAGGATTGAACCCCCATCCTTGCACTTACCTAGGCATGCCTAAGCAGGTGTGTTAGTTTGCTGAGCTATCTTCCTGGCCCCCTCAAATTAAACATTATTAATAAACATATTTTTTTTTTTCGGAACTGGGGATTGAACTCAGGCCCTTGCACTTGCCAGGCAAGCACTTATTCAACTGAGCTATTTCCTCAGCCCTTAATAAACATCTTTAGCATCTTTCTTAATTGTTATATAAACCACAGGAACATAAAATAGGACAATTCTTTAGCCTAACATTACAATCTGTTTGATTGCACTAATCCCAAAGACGGGCACCAATAAAGTCATCTCTTCCATGTAAAACTTCTTTTGTTTTGGATAGAAGTGGTCCAAGACTCTTAGGTGTCTCTAGAACCAAAAATAAAATTTAAATATCCTCTAATAATAATGCTTAGATAGGGGCTGGGGAGACGGCTCAGTGGAATAAGTGCTTGCCTGGCAAGCACAAGGAACTGAGTTCAATCCCCGGTTCTACCAAAAAAAAAAAAAAAAAAAATGCTTGGATAGTTTGGCTAAAATTGGGAACTAATAAAAGAGCAACATAATGCCTTAAACTTTTTACAGTTGTAGCTATAATATGTATTATATTTTTAAAAAGTAATACAAGGGCTGGTGAGATGGCTCAGTGGTCTAAAGCACCTACTTAGAACAAGCTTAGCAAAGCACAGGGATCGAGGTTCAATCCCCCAGCACATGCCAGCC